GGAATTCCAGGGGATCCCGGGCAGGAATTCCAGGGGATCCCGGGCGGGAATTCCAGGGGATCCCGGCGGGAATTCCAGGGGATCCCGGGCGGGTTGCACAGGGCTGGCAGCCCCGGGCACCGGGGGAAGTTTCCCTGCCCCGGGCGCCTTCCGAGCCAAAGCTGCCCGGGAGCCGGGAATGCCAGAGCACGGCGGGGACCGGGGCTGAGCCCGGGACCATCCCGGGACACCGGGAAGGACCAGGGGCTGTGCCCGGGAGAGCCCCAGGACACCGGGAGGGAACAGGACCCGTTACCAGGAGAATCCCGGGACACCGGGAGGGATCAGACCCATCCCCGTGTTTTTCCCGGTTCACCGGGAGGGATCAGGACCCATCCCCGTGTTTCCCCCGGGACACCGGGAGGGATCAGACCCATTCCCGTGTTTTTCCCGGTTCACCGGGAGGGATCAGGACCCATCCCCGTGTTTCCCCCGGGACACCGGGCGGGCCCGGCGCTGTCCCCAGGCCGTGTCCCGGTGCCAGCGCGGCTGCCGAGTGCCGGTGGCGCAGGGCCCGTTACCGGCCGCGGGGCCGAGCCCGAACGCCTCGGGCCGCGCTCCGTGCCGGGCCCCGCGCCGCCGGTACCGCCGCCGGTGCCGCTGCCCCCTCACCGTTTGATCCGCAGCAGGCAGGCCGGGCTGGGCCGCTCGCTGTCCCAGTCGCCGCTGACCGTGGGGTCCCAGAAGGCGGAGTGCGTGAGGAGCGCGGCCCCCGCCGCCGCCGCCGCCATGGGAGCTCCGCCGCCGCCGCCGCCGCTACCGGGGGCCACGCCGCTGCCGGGCGCCGCGGCCGCGCCGAAGCCCGCCGCCGCCCAGAGCTCGGCGGGGATGAAGACGCCGGGAGTCCCCGCGGCACCGGCGGCGCTGGGGGAGGCGCTGCCGCCGCCCGCCGTCAGCACCGCGGCCGGGGCCGGGGCCGCGTCCTCGGCCGCCGGGCTCTCCGCCATTGCGGCCTCGGCCCGCGCCGCTTCCGGGACTCCGCACCAACGAGGCGCGCGGCCAGAGCGGCCCCGCGCCGCCCACGCTGCCCGCCCCGGTACCATAGAGCGGAGGGAGGAGCGGCTCTTCCGCCTGGGAGCCTCTGGGGGAAAAGGGGAGGGCGAGTCCGAGACAGCGCCCCCTGCTGGGCGGGAGGTCCGGCGGGCGGGAGGGGGAATGGGGGGTTTGGGGTTCGGTTTTTGGGAAAGAGGGAGTTGGAAGGAGAGCGGGATTATGGAAGGAAAAAAGGTGGGAAAGAGCTCTGGGATTGGTACTCGGCAGGGAATGGGCACGGCCTCGAGGCTGACAGAGCTCCAGGGGTGTTTGGACACTCTGAGGGATGCACAGGGTGGGATTTTGGGGCGTCCCAAAAATGTTCGGGATGATCCCGATGGATCCTTTCCCACCCGGGATATTCGCTGGTTCCAAGATCCTCAAACCCCACACTGCTCCCCCGTGTCCCCAAGTGCCATCCCCTCGGTTTTTAAACCCTTTCCAGGGCCTGGCTCCACCTGCGCCCCCTTGCAGTGGGAATTTTTTTTTCCCCCAAAATTCCAACTTAACCCTTTTCTGGCACAACTGGAGGCTGTTTCCTCTCATGCTGTTTGGGAGGTCCCAGTTTGGATCCCAATTTAGATCCCAGCAGAGGGATCAGGCAGCACCCAGGGGCTCCCAGCACCCTCAGGATGGAAAGCAGCCGGATCAGAGAGGTGGGAGAGGGGAAAGGAACATTCCTGGAGTGTCCCAGGTGAGCTCAGCAATTCCAGCTCCAAGGATACAAGGAATTGTGATCCGGTTTCCCCAGCAGGATAAATGTAACTCAGCTCCCAGGTAACTGTTGCTCTCCCGGGAACATTCCCAAAGGCGTGGCCCGGCTTTAGGTTCACCCATTCCTGCCCAGAATCCAGGGAATTTTCTCTCTCCAGCTCAGCAAGAATCCCGAATTCCTTCTCTTTCCACAGCCACGTTTGTCCAAATCGTGGAGATTTATGAGCCGAGTTCTCCTCAGACCCTTTCCCTCCCAGGAATTCCATCCATTTCCTGTGTCCCATTCCCAGGAATGTCCCCAACCCCATCCCTGTGTCCCATTCCCATTGCCAGGAATGTCCCCAGACATTTTGGGGACACCCATCCCATTCCCATTCTTGTGATCCCATTCCCAGGAATGTCCCCAACCCCATCCCTGTGTCCCATTCCCAGGAATGTCCCCAGACCCATCCCTGTGTCCCATTCCCATTCCCAGGAATGTCCCCAACCCCATCCCTGTGTCCCATTCCCATTCCCAGGAAGGTCACAGCCACTGCCAGAGGCACTGGGCACAAGGAGTGGCTGCATTAATTAATTTAATTACTGCCAAGTGGATAAGGAGCCAAGCTCCCTCCAGGCTCCTTTTCCTCACGGTGAGAATTCCCAGAACGGGGGCAGTTCCTGGGAATTCCCTTCTGCCAATGCCCTGTCCTGGGATCCTGGAATGGTTTGGGTCACCCCAGGGATGGGGCAGCCAAGGATTCCCAGGAATTCTCCCCAGTATCCAACCCCTGCTTTCCCAGGGCCCAGTTTTGGGGGAATTTTTGGCAGATTTGAGTTGATTCCACCTTTGGTTTTCAACCCCATTCCCATTCTTCATCCCAGAGCTGGGATTTTCCACCCAGCCCAAAAATCTCCCCCAGAAGGTGAAAAATAAAGGCAAAAAAAAAAACCCCAAAGCAGTGATTTCTTTTTCCTCAGGGAATTCCATCCAAAAAGAAGGAATTCTCCCCAGTATCCAACCCCAACCTCTGCTTTCCCAGGGCCCAGTTTTGGGGGGGATTTTTGGCAGATTTGATTCCATTTTGGTTTTCCACCCCATCCCTCACCCCCACAGCCGGGATTTTCCGCCCAGCCCAAGAGAGGTGAAAAATAAAAGGAAAAAAAAAAGGCAGAAAGGAAGGATTTGAGTAGAGAAATCCTTGTTTTACTGGTCAGGCTGGAGGAGGAGAGCCGGGCAGCCCCTGGAGCTGTCACATGGCAAAGAGGATCAGGAATGCCACCATCAAACAGAAGAGCCCCATGGCCTCGGACAGGGCAAAGCCCAGGATGGCGTAGGAGAAGAGCTGCTGCTTCAGGGAGGGGTTCCTGGAGTGGGAAAAGGAGTGAA